AGGTGTGTTAGAGCGATAATCATATCGCGACAGGATTAAAGGTCACATGCAACCAAAAAATCAAACATAATTAAAACACAATTATCACTTCTTCATGACATATAATATGCATTGCTTATTATGAAAAAACGAATAAACAAAATTATAAGCGTATAATCGCTAATCAAAAGTGCAATATTTTGTACTTGGGTTTACCTCCCTCGAAACGAAGCAGCCGGGATACCGAACCCAGTCAGAGCGGATGGGTGTGCACTCAAGTGTAGCGGCTGGTTCATTAGCAGATGCCGCCTTCACGGCTAATTGTGTGTGTATATATAGAAAGTTGGGTTTTGTAAATACATGCTCATTTTTTGTGTATAACATTTTGCAATCAACAGACATCATAACATGTCATGTGCTCAAGTATCACACCTGCCTGTCTGTGTAATTACATAATGTGACAGAGACCGAACTCGGGCCATAAATCAATGCGTTTTGTTTATGGTGTATAGCCTGATTGGTGTTAAGTTCAAATTGCATGTGGTCAGTGATCGCAGTTGTGTATTGAATATTGTCATTAGCAGACAGGCAGGCAGACACACAGGTGTCAATAAGACATTGAGTTTTGTCTGTGACAGCGACATATCTATATCACAGTTAGAAATTCTGTCAACTCTAAATAATGACATTGCTTTTAAGTATCGAACTGAGAAAGTGACTCGGTAAGAAGAACGTGTGGTGAAATAGACAAATGAAATTATATAAACAGTTTATTTACTGTCATAACATATGAAAAGCTCGCGCCTGTGAGATATCAACAAAATATTATGAAAAAACTCACACCAAAGCCTTCACCGAGTACATGTATTCACCAGACAGCCCACTTCCAAGTTGCGCGAATCTATTTCACTGCGCACGTGCTATGAGCGCAGCCCAGCGGTTGAAACCCGTATTCCCCAGAAAAGTCTGGGGAAAATTAGTGAAACGTTTGAACTCCGATTTCGCGCGTTTTTTTTCATCGCGTTATTTTTCAACTTTGTAAGTTAAATTAGCATTTTCGACGCTTTGTTTCGGTAAGTCCATACCGAAAGGTATCAGAATCTGCAAAGTTGTGTTTTACGTTGCATGTGACCTTTAACAAACCTACAGCTCAGCAGATTTTAATAACTTACCTTTTTAATAAGAAAAACAAGATTTATGGATGTCTACTTCTTTTTTGTGAATAACACGAAGTTTCGGAGCATATGCTTGCTCCTTCATCAGGTGAAAATCAGGTCACAGTAATGCATTCCACTTCTTAATGCCCATCAAAGATTTAACTTACTTCCAGAGACTTCTTTAAGAGGCATAAGGCCAAGGTAGTAGGCCTTGTTAATTGGTGACTCTTAACTGCCTTGACTCACTCATCAATCAACAAGGGATTAGGTCCTGGGGCGTGCAAAGAACAATAATTTACCATCACCCACCAGTTATCTCCCTTGTGGACATTTCCAAAATTGTACATTTTGGAAATCTCATATTTCAAAATTGGAAACATTGTTCTTAAATATGTCATGCTTTTGCATATTTCATGCAATTCGAACAGCAACTGTTTGACTGCGTTATTCCTTTTTAACACATCCTTGCTCTTTGCTATTGCTAGAAGACTCTGAAAATTTACTTAGGTAAATAGGTAAATACAGTTTTAGCACACAGCAAATGCTTATATGTATTTCTTTTGCAACAATGAACTTCTGTCCGTATTCTCAAAATAGTGTCGGCCCATAGGTTTTCACATGCAATTAAAATTGCATGCAGTACAGCAATTAATACTTCCTTGTTGTAACCCGTGTTAGGTCCTGGGGCGTGTAACATGTCATTTGTCATCATTCACTTGATGGTCAGTTAATGAATTTATAACAGGTATAATTAGTGGTAACACCACTTAGATAACCCGACAAAGGTTCCCATTTTGCATTTCTTGTGTCTGGAGTAAATACTCAACAGTATAAACATCGATCAAAGGATTAACCCATACTTTTATCTTACACAGCGGATTTGTCAAAAGGTAGTGTTTATGTATGTACATTTACTAATCAATACTAAATACACTCTGTCGTGTCTGTGTCTGCGTAAAACAACTTCCTTCTTTCAAAGGATTAACCGCCAAGACATTGATTCTCATTATTGGTTAACTAAATTACTTTTTTTGTAAAGAATGGCGGAGATTATGCAATTAGTTCCCAGGTATGCTATCTTGGGTGACCAATGCGACTATATACCAATGTGAAATACCTGAAACGATATATCACTTTTCGTGAACATGTATTAGACTGTTAAAAGACACATCATTTGGAACAGCTGCAGGTGAATGACATACGGCTCGTTTTGTGGATATTGATGGATACATTCCTCGAACAAAGTAATAGCCTCATTATAACTACCTGTTTTAGTTTTAATAATTGCATTTTGTTTTATTCATTTGTCGCAGCATTCCACAGAATCCATGATTTCGTCGTGAAGTAATGAGACAGACAACATACACTAGGGCGTGTGTGCGAATTATGATTTACAATGTCTAGATATTCAAGTTATAAGTAAAGGCAGATCGCCTGATAATAAACTAATTAGGATTATAAGACCAAATAGAAAGACGCACGTTGACTAGTATCTACATACTGGTGAGTGGACATTAACCATGGGAATGTAGCAAGATATTTATTGCGCAGTATGTCACTTCGACCCCCACCTCGCTTCCGAGGAAGAAATCGTTATGTTATAAGTTGTGTCATGCCAAATCCTGTTGGCCATGATTCCAATACATATTTAACTACGAGTAGAAAGTAGTTTTGCTTTTCTAACTTGATGAAAACAAACCATAATCTCATTAATTCTTTAACAGACTTTAGCCCGTCATGTTACGATTATTAAAAATGGCAGCGCACTGTCGCGAACATCCGCCAGTCTGAGAATAAATGCTATTTAGGTTTGTTTTCACCGAGTTACAAAATCAAACTACTTTCTAGTGGTAGTAAAATATGTATTTGATTGATGTCCAATAGGATTTGCGTGACATATCTTATATCATAACAATTTTCTCGAGGAAGCGAGGTGAAATCAATATAACACTACTTACAATATTATTGTCACTTCCACCACGACCTCGCTTCCGAGAAAGAAATCTTTATGCTTCAAGTTGTGTCATGGAAAATATGTTTGGTCATCAATCATATATATATTGTACTACAAGTAGTAAGTAGTTTGATTCTTTAACTTCCGCGAAGCGATCTGGACAAATTTAAGATATCGTTCCAAGCTTCCACAACGCTTGTTTCGCACTCACAAACATAACTCATTTACTAAATGATTTAGCACGAACTGCGGGGTCCGGTGGAAATTAGTGCATGGTGACACCATCCTCGACCCCCAGGACGGCAACGCAACGATTGACAGCAACGCAACGATTCGTTTTGCTTTGAGTAAGTTTCGTTGTTCAGACCATCCTTTAATGTTGGAATAAGGACGAAAAGTAAATATAAAACAACATGAGTGATTCTACCCTCTGTGTATTGTACTTACCATTGAATCAGAGTACCAATTCTTTATTGAATGTTCATTTTACTGTGATCTGAGAAACAGCCTTCTCCCACAATACTACATAAATAATCCATGTGAAACATTGACAAAAAGAGCGAAGTTTTTGAATATAGAATATAAGATTAAATTAGACATTGTACACGTTAGCATACAGCTTAATATTATATATGGCGCTGGATTGTATTTTCATCTTTATAATTGTAAAACGGGTCGGTGGCCCTTGTACGAAATTAACTCTCACTGACTAGATATAAGCTTATGATGATACATATTTAAACTCAACGTGACAAATTCACTTTTCACCCACAACATTGAACACTTAAAATGTGTTCACTGCAATTTCGAGTAGTCAAGTCGATAATCCTTTCGTTAACCCCTTAAACAATCATTACTAAAACAACACCAAACATCAAAGACTACCGCCAGTCGCCTTAACGACCCCATGAAACACTCATGCCGCCCCATGCCACTATTGCAATTAGCCCATGCAGAACAATAATTTACCATCACCCACCAGTTATCTCCCCCTTGCGGATATTTCCAAGATTGGAAATTTTTGGAAACATCATCTTTCCAAAATTGGAAAGTCTTGGAAACATCATCTTTCCAAAATTGGAAATGTCTTGGAAACATCATCTTTCCAAGACATTTCCAAGCTTGGAAAGATGGATTTTTTTTTTTTTCCAGTGACATCAATAACACAGCATTGTTTGTCATTGAACCATCTATTTCTTTTTGCTAATGTTTACTTGTCATCTATATATTGGCAACTTTGTACAGCAGGGGATGATTCCAGTGCAAACAAGTGATTTATCAGGCTCCACCATCTGGCTACCCCATGTTATCAACAATCCTATAGTTATCACTGACATGGATGATTCTTTAACAGGTGTGTGAGGGATATTCTTGGGCAATTTCACTCTCTCCATAAAAGTTCACATTACTTGATGTCTGACGCATGTCTTGATAGATGCTTACAATTGAACTAACATGTTCATTCAGAAGTTTAATTCTATTTCTGCACAGCAAAATCCACTTGTCCACCATTACAAGAATATTTCTCCTCTGACACAGTGACCCTTGACCTTCCATGAAATGTCACTAGATGCCATGCAGTTGTGGTGGAACATGTTACCTGCACTGGCAATATTTTACCTGTACTGGTGCAGTCTACATATGACAAAATTGATACCTGCAGTACAGCAGCATTGGATTGAGTGAGTATGGTTTTACGCCGCTTTTAGCAATATCCCAGCAATATCATGGCGGGGAACACCAGAAGTGGGCTTCACACAATTTACCCATTTGGGGAAACGAACCCAGGTATTCAGGGTGACGAGCAAACACTTTAACCACTAGGCTACCAACACCATCCCAGCAACATTGGAAATGGCCCCAGAAAATCCTAATACACGTACAGACTAGCACTTTTCACAATTGCTCACCTCATTATTGTGTCTCCTTTTTTGCAAGTAGGACTCAACCTGAAAGAAAATATAATAAAATTATATATCAACGAACCAGTATTCACATATTACAACAAAATTAGGCCATTTAGCAGTAGAGATATTTATTAACTTACCATTTCCTCAGTTTCTGCAATCCTTGATGCCTGAAAATAGATTTTTCCGCATGTTATTTGTCCATCTTATAGAAGCTTGTTCAAGTAGGGTTCTATTTGCCATCATGACCAGAAGGAAGAAGTCAGTTGGCTGAGTGATATGACCATCGACATTTCATTGATATTCCTTTTCCATGACCTAGCATAGGGAAGATGATTACAATGAGAGACATGTACAGATAGACTGTCGAACATTGTGGCAAGAGAAAACTGAAGCAGTGTAAAACCATTTGTTATCTTAAAATAGGAATAGCTAAAATAATATAAAATAATATCTAACTAATGCCACTCAAAGAAGCTAGGAATATCTAGGTTAAAAGTAAAAATTAATATATGTTTGAAAACATCATTAATTCAACCTTCAGCGTTTCATATATATCCAATTCACAGATGGCAGTTTAAGGTTTCTATAACTTACCTTTTCAGGTGCTGTTTTCTTCAAGCTTCTAATATTTGAACTTGATTGAAGAGTCTGATAAAGAAAGTTTGATACCTTATGAATATGAATCATAGTACTTTCTGAATATCGCAACTACACACTTGTTACGATCGTCACTGGCGTATGCACAAACACACTTTAGGGGAACACCAAAATCCTTAAGTCAACGCTGGTAATACTTACTAGTCTTCTCAGGATAAAGAAGAAATTATCCAGTGTCATCCTTGTCAATTTCGAATTGGTCAACTGTAAAATTCCTGTGCTCATCGCCGCTTCTGAGTGCAACATTTAATCCAATGAGGTACAGCATTGTAGCCAAAAGAACCTGTGGTGACGAAACTCCCAAGATGCCAATATCCCACATAGTTTTCTCTTGTTCATAGGAAATAACCTTAACCTTTTAGGTACGAATTCCAATACCACGTTTCGATCCTTCTTTCATTACACTGTCCAATATATTTCGCAACACTTCCCGGCAACACTTCGTCAAATGCATGTTCAATAACAGCACTAACTGCCGGAGAGTTTTCGGATTATGCTCAGATCCATCGCTTTTGCGCACCTCGCATACAAAACGACACAGAGAGTAATTAAGTTCATCGTCGTTCAGATCCTCGAGTTTGTGAGCTATTAAACTTAAACGCTGTCCGGATGTTTCCCCTCGTAAAATTCTCTGATTACGTGAATTTCTCCAAGTTTAAAAAAAAACACAGGCCCAACGTAAATTCTGTTTGGTATTTTGAGGCACACTTGTCTCGCATAATCCTGCAATTTCAGAATCCAACAACGGCACAGAAAATCTTTCATGATCACTATGCTTCCCACTACCGCCGCCAAACACATTCTCACTCACGTGGACTTCTTCCTCCACGTCACTAATATTGCTGTAATGTTGCTGAAGAAGATCCCTTTCCTCCGCAGTTTCCAGTGCTGTGCATAGAATTTCATCATCTTCAGAGTTTTCACTTATTGTCAAAAACAACTTATCGTCGCTGTCGGTCCCACTCATACCTGCTGCGTAATGAAGAGACATGTGCGCGGAGACCATGTGTTTGTAAAGGCGAGATTTCCGAAAAGCACGTGCTTTACGTCCCCAGTTCATTAACCATCCTTGATGAAGAAGAATAGAAGAAGAATTGTTTATTCTCGAAAATCATACAGAATGATATAGAGAACATACAGTCGTTTAAATACAATATCATATGGGTAGGTATTTTGATTTAGAAGTGGCTAAGCACAGTTTTAGCAAAAAGTAGAAGTTTCAATAGGAGTGGGGTATAGTTTGATTTCATAAGTGAGATAAATTTGTCCATATGTGGATTATTACAGAAATAAGAGGGAAGAATCCTCGACAGTAAGCTGTGTACATGATAAAATAGCATGGTACTCGTCACAAATAATATTATTTTACAAATTGTACATGAGGGCCCGGAATGAAATCCTATGTACCCCTGAAGCTGATTAATCAAAGAGCATCGGGCCGCTTTCTCAAGACGACCTTCGATAACTGGTAATGACATATTAGCGTTGATTTAACGACGATAGCGACTGTACATGCCTTTAGGTAGAATACAGAATATAACACACATTAGCACGTGCCGTTCTTGACATAAGTCGACCGTACCAAAACCTTGCTTGCGCTTAAAAAAACTGTAGTCCATTCATTTAATTACAGACGCGTACCAAATAAATATTATTCTTTTATTTTATTAAAAGCAATATTTGTGTGCATGCTCTCAGTAGGTTATAAGACTCGGACGCATTCTGTAACCGCCTTAATCCACGGTTACAGAACGCGTTCTCGTCTTCTAACCTATACATAGAAGTCTCCGCATTGACAACGAATCTGGTAGACTGCTCCCGAGGGGTCATCTTGTGTTGTTGACGGTGGTTTGTCCGTGGCTTGGAGGTGGTTCTGGATGGATTTGCCTTTTTGGAACAGGACGTCTAATGGAGGGCTAAACATTAGAAGGGGTTCTTTACCTATCATTCATTCGTACACCTTCCTCACAATCAAACAGTCCATTCCCACACTGAACAATATGTAAAATTATTACTTTTGGCATATCACAGTGTGAAACAAATAGGAAAAGTGCCTGCCATCACGCCAAATATAGAAAACTATACTGCAGTACGAAATACTAACAGATCAGTCAAATGGTCAGTCGTGCCATTCACCTGAGTCACGCCATGCAAATTTTCAAATTTCTTATATTATATAGTGTTTTTCAAATCATTTTAGTCACAATTATTTGCAAACTGAAACCCTGTGTATTATTACGCAGCCACAACAGAAAGCAGCTGTCTCATGTTACGTCATCCACATTAACTCAAGCGAGTTCAAACCACAAATTCACTGTGTTTGGGAATCAACCACTGTCTGTTAGCCGACACCGGTAATTAAAAAATAGAAAAAAACAAAGCGTTTTCCCGTTGCTCACACTAAACATTAATTTAATGCGTGCAAATAGTTCACTGCCATGTTTGTATAGTGTACAGTTCAGTAATCAGAATTCCACCACAACCACCTGAATTGGTCGAATTCCATTGCAAAATAATTTATGTCAACATGAGTCTTATTTTACGAGGGTCGCCATGCCCCGTTTAAGCATACACATATCACCAAACCACAAATTCACCCAAAAGAAAAACCAAAGCGTTTTCCCGTTGCTCACACCAAATATGAAATTATTGCTCGCATATATTCTACTGCCATATTTGTTAGTGTACACTGCAAAAATTAGAATTCTACCGCAACCACGTTGATTGGTCCAGTTCTATTGCAAAATAGTTTGTATCAACATGAGTGGTATTTTACGGGCGCTTCGTTGCGCATGAGTGTACAGCACTGTCGCCATGCTCCAGTTTAACCACCAGCATAACTTACATCAACACCACAGGGTTGCAGCATAGGCAATGATTCTAAAGCATATTGTCCGCACCTGGCAGAATTCACTGTTAATGAGTCTAAGTACATCCTCGCCAACCAACACAGTTCAGGTGAATTAAGCCCAGAACCTCACTTTCACATTTAACATATGGTAAATATATATAAGCCAATGAAAAATTAAGTATTGCCTGCTTTGTCATGCAGGCATTCCTATTTAATGAACACATCGCTTTTGGAAACATCTTTGTCAACATTTCATCACATTGTAACAAAGGTACACTATCGACATTTAAGTATTATTGTAAAACTGTTTAGCATACAAAGTTCCATCACAGAGCATAAACAGCCTCATACTGCATCAACAATGTTCATTAATCAAGAAACAACAATAATGCACGTTTATATTTTGTACTTGGCTACAGCAACTAATTACAAAATAAAAAAAGTATGTCATTATTTAAAAAACACAAACTCTGGCCACCCAAATTATCACCCACATTTTACAATTTTATGAACATACCTGCCATTAACCAGCTGCATTAAATAGCATACAGTACCACATTATCTCCTCCAGCAATATTTTCCCAAAACACATACACAAAATCAGTGGAAACCCGATTATCATTACATTTTGGTTATACTCGGAAATCGTCCGCATAGTTAGGCGTCCGGTTAACTTGATCAAACAAGCAAAACGCATTCCCCATACTATACATTATATACAGTACAATTACAATATAGTTCACACTAATCCTAATCAACATGTGTTTTCGTTACTCATGATAGGTTCTCACACCTGTCATATTTCGCTAAATTGTGCACTGTTTTAAAGACGGCATACACCACTAAAAGCTAACATTATTGTAATAATGGCCACAATTTTTATTTTGCATACCTAGTGTTTACCATCGTTATTCACAGTTCAGTGCCCATGTTTCACGTTACCGTTTACGTTATTGAGGGTTTACACGTGAGCGAATATAAAATATAAATCACAACGTTCACATTTTAAAATGTGTGCAATAGCAGGTACTAGGAACCACTTACTTGATTACCTGCAAAACAGTTCACCCATTAGGCCTAAAACAAATCACACATCCAGGCTATATTTTATAACAAAACAAGTCACCCAACAAAACATTACTTACCCTCACCCTGGAAAGATCACAATGGCGCTCGTTGTTTGTCCATTGGCTAGTTGGTAGGCCATCAACCAATCCAGTTGCTTGATGTCATGCTTCCGGCACGTGTCTAACTAATTAGTATGCGGTTCTGATGATGAAATTGTGGTAACAATGGACCCTCCGTGTGTTGTATCACCTACTTTAGAGGATATCATAGATATTAGAACCAGTGATGCTGAATCAGCAACAACCGAGTCCACAATGACAGATGATTCCTCTGCTCAGGAGGTTCAGGCAGAGCAGTTGCCTCGTCGTTCTGGTAGAATACGACATCAACCAGATTGGTTAACATCAGGTCAGTTTATTTCGCAAAGTGCTTCAACGCCACAATGGCTTGAAAAAGCAATTGTTCTGTGTGATTTAGCACAATCTGATTTCTTTCAAACTGTTCCTTCTGAGGTCAAACAAACAATCTTGTCTGTAATAAAAGATTGATGGAAATGACGAGGACGAAATAAATGTCGAAATTAATTTTCCTCTGTGACGTCAAACCACGACAGAGAGGTCATACACATATAAAGATAAGGGGGCATAACTACGCAGTGCTTCACACTAGGTCATTGTAACTCAGATAACCTGGAGATACGTTGAAGTGGATAGGGACGCTATATTTTCGTGATGTTTTGTCGACGGTGAACCAAATTATTCCAATACAAAGATCCCCACTGTAACCGTATACGTTTTGTTAGCATCACAATTTATAAGAAACGATGACATCTTATTACATGAGAAAGCACCTAATAGCGATTTGGATGGCTCTATCCAATATGTAAATTAGTTCTTTCATTCCCATATTCTCCTGTTTGAGTAGATGTATTTTGACTAATTGTGCACCGTTATGAACAGAGTACTAGCCATATCTTTACTAAATAAATTACAACATTTTAGTTGACGTCATGGCTTGTTTTATGGATTTTGCGACGTTTTATCTTCTAACACTTGTGTAAAGGTTTAAAATATG